CCTGCCCCGGAGGTGACCACCCGGGGCGGCAGCCCTCTCCCGGCCCGCCCGCTGCTCCCCTCAGCAGTGGGCTTCGTCATCTGCCTGTTCCGCTCCCTATGTTGTCTCTGGACAATCTGCTCACTGTCCCTGTGCCTCTGGCCTGTACCCCAGTTCTGTGTGCATAAGTCTAAAAAAAAATTCCTACTGTAAGTGTGCAGCATCCACTTGCCAGAACTCGGGCACAGAGGACACCTCAAAAAGCACAGTCCCGTGCAGGACCCCTGCACAAGGACAGGCCCCAGGGTGACAGAGGGCCTCGCGCTGCCGACTGTGACCTGGGACGCAGAACAAGGCTCTGGAAAGCCGGCTGCCCGATCTTCAGCTTTGCAAATGACAGGACCAAGCAGCCAATAAAGGGTTAAGGAGAAATGTGTAAGAAAGGCTCTGGCTGTCAGGCCTCCAGGCCAGGCCCTGGCCAGCACGGTCAGCCCCCTCTGTGGCCCCCCGGGGGGTGTGTGGAGCAAGCAGCTGTGTGTGGAGCAAGCAGCTGGCCGGCTGGCGAGCCTTCGACCTGCGTCTCTGTTGCGTTTCCAGAGGCGTGTTGTCATGTCCACCTGGGGCCGAACGTCCGTGCTGGCTAGCCCCTGGCTTCGCAGGTCCACTTTTCTGCTTTTCCACCCCCAGGTCCTCAGCTGAGGTCACTTCTTGTTCTTTCACATTCGTGGACAGTGGCTGATGGTGACCAGAGCACTGTGAAAAGCCTGCCCGGTCCCCGGCCAAGGGCTGTCCCCGCCCGTCCGAGGGTCCCCGGCCCCTCCCATTTTGCTTCGGGGCAGCGAGCCCCCTTTCTCAGGTCCGGTCCGCGCAGGCTTGGGCATGGAAGCAGGCCGCAGCCTTCCAGGGACTTTGCCGTTCTAAGAAAACTGCTGTCGTGACACCTGGGCCGTCGGGGTCGGGGTCAGAGCTGGAGGCAGCAGGAAGCGTGTGTTTTTCCAGTTTAAAAAGTATTTTTTTAAAAAAGATTTATTTGTGCATACAGAACTGGGGTACAGGCCAGAGGCTCAGGAGTGGCGAGAGGCTTCACCAGGGACAGAGCGGGGAGCAGAACAGGCAGATGGACGAAATACACTGCTGAGGGGAGCAGCGGGCGGTGAGGAGAGGTCTGCCACGCCATGTGGTCACCTCCGGGGCAGGCGGGGATCGAACTCATGTGGAGGCGGCTTTGGATTCTCAGGGCTGTGCTTTAACCCGCTGGCCACCAGGGAGGGCCCCCAGTTTAAAAAGTATTTTAAGGGAGCAGCAGCTGCAGCCTCACACCTGTATCGCTGTCTAAAACTAGCATTTGTCGCTGTGCCATTCCCCAGCTGACCTGCCCTCCCGTGGCCAGGTGCCCCAGGTCCACGTCGCCCCGTGTCCTTGCCACGGGGTGCTGTTTGGGTCCCGCTCTTA